CTCTCTCTCTCTCTCTCTCTCTCTCTCTCTCCGGTCAGCGTGCACTGCACTGCGCAGCGCACCTCACGTATGTGCCGCAAGTATGCTTCATATATACGCTATGTTTACTGTGTCTTTCCCGTGTTTGCACTTTTAATTCTTGTTTACAGTGACATTTTTCAAGATTTCCCAAACTGTTATGCACTGTGTGATACAAGTCCACTTTGGGCTATTAGGGGAGCTGGGTGTTCATGATGCCTGTGTCTCTATGGTTTTCCTTGGTGGTGACAGTCTGCTGTGGATTGGGTCCCTCCCTGGCTTTGAGATTCGCCCGAACCTGCGGTCCTCATTCTTTTCCCTTCACTGTTATTAAGTGCTAATCTGCTTTGATCTTTGCCATAGATAGCTGCGGTGTTGGTACTTGCCTGATCTGCCCATTGTATGGGTTGGTGTACTGCTCCTTGAGCTTGTTGCCCTCCTGCCTGCCTCACTCTCTGCATTATGACTCAAGGCCTTGCTGCTTGTCTTGCCTGTGTCTGAACCACCAGCCTGCCTGCCCTTTTGCCTTCCTGCTTCACTTCCCATCCTCCTGCCTGCTTCCCTTTTGCGTTGGTGCCTTGTTGCTTGCTGTGATCTATGCCATATGAGATAGCTGTGGTGTTGGTACTTGCCCGATCTACCCATTGCATGGGTTGGTGTACTGCTCCTTGAGCTTGTTGCCCTCCTGCCTGCCTCACTCTCTGCATTATGACTCAAGGCCTTGCTGTTTGCCTTGCCTGTGTCTGAACCACCAGCCTGCCTGCCTTTTTGCCTTCCTGCTTCACCTCCCATCCTCCTGCCTGCTCCCCTTTTGCGTTGGTGCCTTGTTGCTTGCCCTCCTGCCTGCCTCACTCTCTGCATTATGACTCAAGGCCTTGCTGCTTGTCTTGCCTGTGTCTGAACCACCAGCCTGCCTGCCTTTTTGCCTTCCTGCTTCACTTCCCATCCTCCTGCCTGCTCCCCTTTTGCATTGGTGCCTTGTTGCTTGCCTTCCTGCGTGGCTGCTTGCATCGCTGACTACATGCCTGCTTAGTACTTACCTTGTGCCCTACTGCCTTGCTGGTGGCCTTTTCATCGGAAAGGTTGAACTTTGTCTCAGTTGGAAGTCTGGAGCAATTTTGCTATAACTTCCAATGTCATAGGGATTTAAGGCTTCCTGCCATCTCGCTTGTGGTTAACAAACCCCCAAGTCGATCCAATTGCTTCAGCCTCAAGTTCTTCCTGCAAAAAAAAGAAGAAAATAACTTTTTTCTGATACTTGCACCAACAATTGCCTTGCAGTTTTTGTCTTTGCTGGAATATTCCAATGGATTGAGAGGCGGAAAGTGTTTTCGGAGGATTGTCGCGAAACTGAGTGTCCTGACTTCTACAAGTCTTTCTACTTCATGATCGTAACGGTAAGGTTGGTCTCTATCATAGTATCATGTAACATCCCACAGGTTTTTGTCTGTGTTCCAATGGATCGGCGTATCCTTAGTGGATCCTGATTGCCTTCCATGCATAAGTACACTGCTGGCTGTCCCTACATTTGCTCTTCCCTTCTGCTGTCATGGTGTGTGTTCCACGCCCTACTTACAAAATGTGCCCACATAGACCTTTGTAGAGTAGATGAGCTAATGGTGTAACAGCAGGTGAGGTATACATCTCAAGCGTGACAACATGCATGCGAGGGTACTGAAGAGTAATCAGGGATGTTGTTCAGAATCTTCAGCAGAATCTTCAGATTGATTGATCTTGATGTAGTATAGCAATAAAAAGTATAGAAAAAGACCAGCAACAAACATGAAGAATGGGCAACATTCAAGGCTAAGGGAAAAAGGCACTTCTAGGCAACTACGAGATGAAGAAGCTCCACGCTCCGGTGCTGCAGGGTATGGGATGGGTGCCAGGTAAGTAGTCCTCACCAACTCCGGCCTCTTCGCCGCCAGCCTTTACCAAGCCTGACTTTCCCTTTGACCTTTCTCCTTTCGCCCGTATTTCCCCTCTATGCCTGATGCATGTCAAATAACTTTCTCCCACGGTCACAATGTTACTGTCTCGGCGAATTCAACCTTCGCCCGCATTTCCCCTCTATGCCTGAATGCATGTCAAAGCTAGGCTGGGCCGTTGCCCGGCCAGCTGGGCTGGAGGGGATCGCCCGGCAAAACCAGGCGGGTCAAAAAAGAGGGAAGGATCTCCAAAAAAAAGAAACTGACTTCAGGCCAGGACTGCGCTTGGCCTGGGAAGTCAGAATCTGGCCTTACCTTCCATTTCGGTGGTGGGTCACCCAGGAGTGTTTGGGGGGGTATAAAGTTACTGTAAACAGTGACTAGAGGGGTTTAAAAGGGTATATCTTACCTCATTTCTCCTCATTTACTTTTATCTTAAAATTAATGAGGAATTTTGAGGGGACCCTCAGCCAAAAGTTGCTTGTGCTGCAGTTTTATACAACATATATGTTTTTTCCAGATTTCTTTGAATTTTTTCGATTTTTTATTTTTTTCTAATATTATGCGGTGGGGCTGCCCGGGAGACCCTGCCTGACCACTGCCTGGCCCAGGCCGCCCGGGAGGGTACCCAGGCGACCTTCCCCCAGCGGGGCCGCCTGGGGACCAGCCTAGTGTCAAAGAATTTTCTCCGATGGTCACAATGTTACCTGCTCTCAACGAATCCAATTTTGTTGTTTCCTCTTGTATTTTCTGATCCGCCACCCACCCATCAGCTTTCTCTCCCAGTCATCGGATCATCTACCGTTCTCCGTCCTGGATGCAAATGAAGTAGTGCTGGTTCTTGTTAGTATTTACAGAAAGGAAAAAAGGTATCATGACTTCATTCATGACATCAAGCCGAGCTATCTGTTGTTACGTAATTTTATCACTATAGCAGTTTCAGAAAAACAAAAAAGTACAAATCCTTTTGTTGTTATTATAATATAATCTCTATTCATACTAAAGCAAGCAAAGGGTCTGGCGACATGCTCGGTCGCGGGCCCAACGGAAACCACTTGGGACACAAAACCGAGGCGGGGGGGCGCGGGGTTGAGGCCGAGGGAGAGGAGAGGGCGACGAAAATGCCCGCGCGAGAGGCCCAGCGGGGCGAAACCCTGAGGTTCGTGCGCGGGTACGCACGTAGAGAAAAGGCGCGCCATGCACAGGTCCGCACGCGGGTATGAAATTCAAAGCGGCGTGGCGCGGCACGGCGCGTGCAGCACGCGGGCGGGCGAAAAGCGACACGGGTGGGCGCAAGGCGAATGCGAGGTCCAGTGGGCGGAGGCCGAGGCCGATGCTCGCAGTGGAAACCGAAGTGGGTCAAGGACAGCGCGGAACGGCAGGGGCCAACGGAAC